GGACGTTGAGTTCGGTAAACAACACTTCTGTGCTGCTTTTCCCGCGCCCAATACCTCGTAATGGAAGGATTGTGTCTCCCTACTAACGAAACAGAAGATTCATCAGTGAATAAAATGTTTTTAATAAAATTTGGTTCACTATTAGCCTTCGTTATTAGAGTTTCACAAAACTCCATTCTTCGAAAGTAATCGTCTGGATAAAGCTGCTGCGTTTTCGAATATTTAAAATTCTTGTAACCGTGCTTTTTCCATACTTTCGTTACAGTAACATTGCTAATATCTAACTCTCTAGCAACGCTTCTACTTGAACGTGAACTCTACCTCGATTGTTGCACAAATTTGTGTATCCCGGTATTCTCTTTCCTCAACTTTTTCTGGTAACACTTCTTGAGCGTGACATTTTCTGCAATTTTTGTGGCAATAACAACTCTCACAATTTTTAACAATATTATAAATTGACTGTACACAAGGAATTGGTCTTCCCTCAAAAAACACAGAAAATAAATCTACACACTGTTGCGCAGAATTGCCACTATAAAACCATGTTATTATTTGAGCTTTTTCCGCGGCCTTATAAACAGACATGTTTACAAAAATAAATTAAAACTCTACGCTGTTATACCTTTAAACAACCACGGTATAATGACAATATGACAAATTTGCCGACGGGCGACGAGCAACGACGAGTCAACGAAGCAGATATGTAGTGGCAAGTCGATGACGCGCAGTGTTGCCATTTATAGAGTGTATACCTAATCCAAAACTTAACGCACTGTATATCTCTACTTTATATTAAGTGTATTAATTACACTGAGAACTTAACAGATATAACTGCAACGTTCAAGGTCACTTCATCGATAAATGGAGGAGCCAATAATCAGTTGTATGCAAGCGCCTGAAGCCTAAACATCCATATACTTAACATTGAACGTAAATTTTAGTGCGTTTGCTACGTTGTCAGGTAACTTCGTAATTCGTGAAATGGTTATTGTTTGTTGAATTTTCATATTAAAAACTAAGAGGATCTAAGAGAATCTATTTTTATAAGGTTATTTCCACAACGGTTGGAAACAAATTATTTTAACTAAATATCGCAATTCTCAATATGAAACAAATTTAGCTTTCTAATTTAATATACTTCCATTCATTCAGTTCATTTTAATGATTATGACTAATAACTTCATTTGTTCATTCATCAACAAACATTTTAACTTTGATATTAGTGCTCTGATAATAAATATAATAATAAACTTATTACAGTAATTATAGAGTATTAATATTACAGTTCAATACTTCATCTAAAATCATCTAAAATAATATTCGATTATTTAGGTAACACCGCATCAACCAACGCAACGTCTGTCGTGCCTGGTCATGTCAAATCATCACCGTTGCAGTTAAATCTGTTCATATTCAGACAACTGAGTAGTTTTTTGAAGCTCTGAATAGTATTGCTTAACGAGCGGAAAATTATAATAGTATTTATCGCCAACCACCAGTAAAGTGATTAATTAATGTACTCATTTGTGGCAGAAAGTAACACTTTATTTTTTTAAAAGAAGAAGAACTTTATCTGTCGCAAATATTAATCAAGAATGTCAGTGGTGGATGGTAGTAATAGATTATTTATTTGAATGAATTTAAATTTTATCGTATTCTAATTATTAAAAATATTGTCTTTGGTACGTTAACCACATGACTTCTGCAGACAGACTATTTAGTTGTGTTTTGGATTTTTGCAGTAAAAATATTGATCTCATTAGATATTTTTAGATACTTAGGAAATACAAGTCCATTTTTTATGATTATCCGGCTGTATGTGGATGATAAAAATGTAGATTTATCTTTAGATGTATCTGTAGAGTTTGGCAATCATCATTGCTATTCCTATCTTTGAAGCTGTTGCTTTAAATAATTGGTTAGATGTGCACTGGAACCAGTCTCTTAAATTGCGCAGCCAAGATATACGTCGTCTCCTCACGCTTCGTTTGCCCTGAAACTTGCCTTGGATAATTAACTGGAGCAATCGGTAATTTTTCTCTCTCATCACATGACCAAGATATTCCAGCTTTCTTCTCTTGAAGGTGATCAACAGCTCCCGTTCTTTGTTCATTCTTCGAAGAACTACACTATTTGTTAATTTGTCTGTCCAAGGTATTTTCAAAATTCTTCTATATATCCACATTTCGAAGGCCTCTAGTTTATCGATATTGCTCTTGTTTAAAGTCTCTACTCCGTACAGCAGTATCGAAAAGATTTAGCATCTAACCAATCTCATTTTAAGATTTATTTTAATCTCATGACTTCCCAAAATGTCCTTCATATTAACAAAAGCAGCTCGAGCCTTTCCAATTCTAGTTTTTATTTCTTCTGTGATAACATTGTTGTTATTAACACTTGTTCCCAAGTATTTATATTTGTGCACCAGTTCGATTTCGTTATTGTGAATGTACAGGTTTGCAATCAATCTTTGGTTTTTTGAAATAATCATGAATTTTGTCTTCTTGACATTCATTGTTTATCCTTTCTCTTTACTAGCTGTGACTACCTTGTTTAAAATGGCTTGCAGGTCTTCTACTGTCTCCGAAATTAAAACCGTAACATCTGCGTATCTAATATTATTAATTAGTTGGCCGTTAACTTTTATCCCAATCTCTTCTTCCTCCAATGCTTTCTTCATAATTTCTTCCGAATAGAGATTAAATAGCATTGCTGACAGCACACATCCTTGTCTAACTCATTTTTTAAATTGAATTTCATTTGTTTTGCTATTTTCGATGCGTGCAACTGCCTTCTGATTATAATACAGAGTAGATATTATTCTTATATCGCGAGTGTCTAACTGTTTAGCTTTCAAGATCTCTAAAAGTTGGTCATGCTTGACGTTATCAAACGCCTTGTTGTAATCAATGAAACAAACAAATACATCTTGATTCACATCCAAACACCTCTGTGTCAAGATGTTAAAGGCAAATAATGCTTCGCGAGTTCCATATTCCTCCCGGAATCCAAACTGAGTTTCTCCGATATCTTCTTCCAATTTTCTGTAAATTCTATTGCGAATTATTTTGAGGAATATTTTTAAGGTATGGCTCATCAGGCTGATTGTGCGATGATCACTGCACTGCTTAGCATGTCCCTTCTTGGGAAGAGGGACAAAGGTTGATCTTAGCCATTCTTCAGGAATTATACTGTTTTCATAAATCTTGTTAAATAAGTCTACTAACAAATGGATTCATCTTCGTCTATCAACTTTAGTATATCCGCTGGTAGCTCATCTGGTCCTGCAGCTTTGCTATTCTTTGATGACTTCACCGCTTGCATTACTTCTTCTTTGCTTATTTCTGGACCTGTCTCCTCTGAAAAATTATCACAAGGAGGCTGCCTTTGATCGTCAAACAGTTCTTCGATGTATGTCTACCAATGTTTTAGATTCTCCTCTGTTTCAATTATCATGTTCCCTTGTTGATCTATAAGTACTGTCTGCTTCCTGTTTCTATTGTTGATCATTTCTTTAACTTTCTTGTGAAGATAGAACGAATCATATTTGGCTTCCAAGTTTTAAATCTCCTTACATTTGTCTTCTCTTCTTGTAACCATTGTTTTTTAGCGTCGCGGATTTTTCTTTTGATCTCTGTGTTAATTTGCTTATACTGTTCTTCACTTTTACCTTTCGATAGTCTTCGAGAATTCATCAATAACAAAATTTCATCACTCATCCATTCTTTCTGTTTCTTTGGTTTTTCTCTCTTCAGAATATTTTTAGAGGGCTCCAGCACGTTCTTTTTAATAATGGCCCAGTGTTTATTAATGTCTAGTTCTGGTATCTTCTCTGTCTTTTCAAGTTTTTCAAGATTTGCCTGAATGCTTTAATGTCACTGAAAATTATTGAATAATTTTATGGACAAAGCTAAAAAATAAATCAGTCAAATAGTACAAAAAGTATAAAACAAAAACAAATATAGTAAAAAACAGAATAACACAATTTTAAATTAGTAAAATTATTGTATAACCTACATAACTTGTACAGACAACAACAAATGAGACAAATTGTAGCCACTGCTTGAGACACCCAAATGTAATTATAAACAATACTAATTTTGTTTCTTTGTTATACATTAAGAAACTCGTCAACTGAATAATATGGTCTTTCTGAGAGATAGATTTTTGTCAACTTACGAAACTTAATGAAGGATGTTGCGGATTTAATTTCTCTTGGAAGGTGATTATAAAGTTTCTTTGCACGATATAGATGCTTGTTATAATAGATATAATGCTTGTTTCTATCTGCTGTTTAATTGTTTCATCCTTTAAACGATTGATATCTAGTACTTGTTTGCGCTTAGATTTTTGTACTCTTTTCAGTTTTATTCGGAATTGTGCCACTACTGGATTGTGGTCTGACACTATATCTGCTCCTGGATATGTTTTCACAGATTCGATTGTGTTTTTATATTTGTTGTCTATGGTTATATAATCTATTTGATTTCGTATAATATGGTCTTTAGTGTCCCCAGAAGATTTCCACGTGTATACTTGTCTTCTAGGTAGTTGATAAAATGTGTTTATCAACTAACTATGTGATTTAATTATAAAATTATTTTCCTGGCAAAATTGCAACAGCCGATCACCTCTTTCAGTTCTTTGGCCGAGACTATATTTTCTAAACCATTTGCCACACAACCTGCTAATAATGTTGTTGTTCTAATGCATTTATATTACTGAGAACTTAGTTCCTTAGTATACAATTTTAAAGGTATTATAATAACTTTGTTTTTTCTTTATGTTTCTTTAGTCAAATAATTGAACATTGACATTTTTTGAACAACTGTGACTTTGTAGATACTCGCAAATAAATCTAATTTCTGCACATTTTTTATTACAAAAAAAAATTAAATCCCTCGCATTATTTTTGTTGGAGAGTATACACGGTACATACAACTCCTTAGCTCATTAATGTAAATAGTAGCTGAAACAGTCATAAAATAAAAAGGTAATATTATTGTTGTTTGCACACAAAATGTTTTACTTGTTTTACCATTGAAAGTTAAAAAATCATTCAATGTCACGTCCGATTGGCAAAAAGACCAAGTTGTCTGTTAAATCAAAGGAAATTATGGTAAGTCAGTATTATTGTCAAGATACTTGGAATTTTAGTACCGTCAATTTTTATTTTGAAATTCTTTTTTGTGGCACCTTAGTTTTTATCACATAATATAAAGCTGAATTTTTCGTTATAAAGCAGCTGAAAATATAGGAATAAAGAACTAAACGGTCATACAGTAGATATACATTTTTCTTGAGAAAGCCTATGCTAGCTACCCAGAGGCGGTCGGTGGTGGATATTCAATAAGAAAATATTTAGATTAACAGAAAAAATTAGCATCAGGTTTCACTGATTAGTTCTTATTTATTCTTATTAATTTTGGATTAGATAAGATGTGACATTCTTTGGTGTATGGTTCAAAGATGTTAACTTTGGATAATGAAGATGATTTGAACATATATGATTTATCATCATTAACCTGTATGTGTCCACTGCTGGACGTAGGTCTCCCTCAGCTCTTTCCATCTGCCTGTGTCTTGTGCGGCTTGTATCCAGTTACTGCTAAATTCAGGTCAGTCCATCTGGTTGGTGATCGTCCTCTTGTCTTGGTCTCCACTCGACAATACGTTTTGTATTTCAATACTACGACGTATTTCTTCATTTGGGATTCGGTCTCTCGGAGAGACATCCAACATTTGACGCTCCACAGCCCTCTGAGTTACGCGAATCTTATTCACTACATTTTCAAAGATTTTCCATTCGAGGCATATGGGTAGGTAGTATCAAGCTTATCTTGGTGGATGGGTAGTTGATGGTTAGCCTCAATTTTTCGATATTCTCTGAGAACAGAATGACTTCTTCGCAGTTTCGGCGGTGGAATGTGACTCAGAATGGGAAGCTAATAGTTCGGTGTGGGTCTAATTGTATCTGAGATCAATTTAAACATTTCTTCATTATTGTGTAGTTGGAGCCGTGTTTTTCCTTCAGCTGTCTTCTTTTACCTATTAGCTCTTTGGCATGTTGGCTTAGTTTTTATTTATGGGTCAGAACGGTCGGGCAGTATTCTCTTTCCGTTTGTTTTAGTACCTTTGTTGTATCATCATTTGCTTTATCTACATCTTTTATTTCGTCTTGCAAGTCTTGTATATGTTTAGTTAGTGTATTTTCAAACAGTTCGTTGTTTTTGGGGAATCGATTTTATTTTTCGTGTTTTTATGATTATCTTTGTTTTTCCAATTTGACATTTAATAGTATCTTAGCTCTGATTCATCTGTGGTCGCTTCCTATTGGAAATTTGTTGAATACTTCAATGTCTTCGATTATTTCTTTTATGTTTCCTATGATAATCTATTTCATTTTTGACACTGCCATCTGGGCTGATCCATGTCTATTTATGCTAAGGCTTTTTATCGGAAAAAGAGTTCACTATTAATAAATTTTCCTGGTGTAAAAAGTTCAGCAATCTTTGCCCTAGTTAATTTCTTTCGCCATATCCATACATACCCATTGCTACTTCTGCATCATCTTGTTTAAACCCCATTTTCGCGTATTATTATTGACTATTTAGGGTATGCGAAACATTATTAGGGCTGGATAAGTAAAACTTTTTGTTCTTATATCTAGCTTTCCCAAAATTTATTTGCTTCTTCAGGATATGGTAAAAGATGGTTATAATTATTTTATCAGTAAATACAATGAAATTAAAATTAAAAAACATTGTACAAAACAAGCACAAAAACTTACAACATGAGGTTAATCCACTAAATGTTTAACTTAATGAATCATTAAACTTAAGGCCGGTTGTTCGAACGCTAATCAAAACTTGATTGTAATCAAATATTTAATTACAAGCAAATACGTCACAGCAGCTGTCCAAATTATTAAATATTGCTTGTTACTATTATAGATTTGTAAATAAAAACATGAAATTAACATCAGAAAGAGTTTAATTATCGTTTATTTAAATTAAAACGCAAAATAATAAACTTGAATAAAATAAATCAGTCAACATAACCTCAAAATTTGATGTATTTGATTTTAATTAAGTATTTGATTACAATCAAGTTTTGATTAGTGTTCGAACAACCGGGCTTAACTTATTAAAATATATATAATTACAATGTTTTAATTTTATTTAATTTTAGGAATCATGATTGATAATAATTACTTTGATCTTTGATTTATGTCAGAAAGACACTCATGTCTGTTTATTATATTTTTCGTTGTTGATAACTAGTTTTCCATTGTTATGTGGCTGCGTACTATACATAATAGAATGATGAATTTTTTCACTTGTCATTAACCTGACATCTGATTATTTAAACAACAAAGTAAAGTAGCGCCAAATATGAATATTTGTTTATTTTTTAATTTAGCCAGGAAATTTAATATTAGAGAATTATAGTATTAGTTTTCATAAGAGAGAATGTAATTATAGATATTGCATAAGCAATATTGATACAGTGAACAGAAACGAGTGTCATTCTGACATAAATCAAACATCAAAGTAAGTATTATCAATCATGATTCCTAAATTTAAATAAAATAAAAAGATTGTAATTGCATATCTGTATATGGGAGGCATATGCTAAGTCCATTTTTTCAGAAAAATACATTATTGCATAACCGGGATCGCAATACCCAATATTATTCAGGGGAATACTACACTAAGTCCAAACTCTTTTACAAACGAAATTAGACGAGAAACTATGTATACTATGTCCAATTTGCTTTAGAGGTATATAATCTTATCTGGACTTAAACTTATATTCCTCCAAACGAAATATTATGAACTGGATTCTAAGTCCATTATAGGATCATATGCTTCTCAATGAAATTATATCAAGTATATAATAAAATATACACACACGTGTGCATTTTCGTTGAACCTAATATTTTTAAAACAAACTCAAGTTAAATGTATATTATAGTATATTAAGTGCACATCAAGTGGAGACTATTTACAATATTGGTTTAGTCATTTTATGGTTTACAATTTATTGTGTTTATGTCTTGGAGATTGGATTTAATTGTTACTTAATTTATTAGGTTGTACTAAGCAGTATTTTAACGAAAAATCGTCATTAATGACAGGCAGGCGCATTCTGAAAATAATATAATATTTAGTTTTTAACGTACCAACATAGCAAATCTGTCTTGGAGATTGGATTTAATTGTTACTTAATTTATTAGGTTGTACTAAGCAGTATTTTAACGAAAAATCGTCATTAATGACAGGCAGGCGCATTCTGAAAATAATATAATATTTAGTTTTTAACGTACCAACATAGCAAATAGATAACCGATTTAAAGTCGAAAGCGTGTTATTTTAGAGAAGGTATTTAGTGAGTCTTTTATTGCTTTAAAAATGACTTTTCGCAAAAGAAGTTTAAGGATATTAGATTTGTCGCTCTCCGACATACCTAAGTCTTTAAATACAGACCCCATATTACAAAAAGGTAAGTGTTTATCATTAAATTATTATTGTTTTTTTTTCAGTCAGTCGTGAAAAAATAAATGTAATATTTACTTCTTTTCTAAATGTTAATAAAAATACCTTTAATTGTAATTATTTTACTTAAAGTCTGCTTCCGTTGTAACGAAACTTTCTATTGCAGGTGAAAATAAAAAAACCCTACCTCATCACGAACTTAGCGATATATGCGACCAAGATGCAGTTATCAAATCGGCTAGTGTTGCAGAAGAAAAGTATTCTAAACAAAGTTCAGTGGTAAGTGCCAACATTTATTTAAGTGACAGCGATGACTCAATAAAGGATAAAGATTATCAACCAGATTCGGACACTGATTCAGATGAAAGTGGAAGTAGGTTTCCTGTACCTTTATCGGCATTTCCAGAAGGTGTGCCAAGAACATCTAATGCTATACCAGACTCTTTAACTAATACACTAGAAGATACTATAAATCACAATCGTTTAGTGACCATAAGAAAAGTCGTCAATAAAACAAAAATAAAGCAGATAGGAAAGAAACGAACACGACATGTTCTTAACTGGAAACCGAATGAGAGAAAGAGAAACTATGCTGGTGGAAGGGCCTATGTTATTAAGAAGCGCGTATACGCTCTTAAAAAAAGCAGAAAACAGATATAAATTTAAATCTATTGATATGGCCAAAGCAAAAGTAAATGTAAAGCACAAAGTACTGATTCGTGATCTACAAAAGTGCCTTCAAACGCCATATTTGACCAATTGTGTGAATTTTTATAAGCGAAAATTATAAACTTTGAATTAGATACACTTTATACGATGGATATAATAGTGCTGCGTATTGTGTACTGCGGGATGAAACCAAAGCAAACAGAGGAGGAAATGAAATTGCTTCGGAAATTTTAAAGTGCGCTGATCTAAATATTCTCATCTGACGTTGAATGTGAAACCATATGGGCAGATAACGGTTGGGGCCAGACCAAAAACCTATGTGTAGTTATATGTGCATTTTACCTCATTTAAAGATATCCCAAACTACAAGTAATAGATTGTAAATTTCTTCTAAAGGGGCATACGCATATGGAACCCGATTCAGTACACGCTAATATTGAAAGGAAACGGAAAAAACTACCCACTCTAACTATATTAACACCCTGGGAGTGGCAACAATTTATTCGTCAGTGCTCGAATAAATACGGAGCTGTCAACATGGAACTGAATGATTTTAAAAATTTTGAATGCTTATATTCTTCAATAGGTCCATTTATTAATCGGAAAATAAATACTGATAGAGATGCATTTCAAATTTCAAAATCAGTGATCTTACGTGTTACCAAAGAAAACTTCATTCAACCGTGACACTTCATTCAAATGGTTGAACGAAATAGAACACTTAAGACGAAATAAAAGAGGTGATATCATTTTGCCAGAAACTTTACCACAAAAGAATATGCAATTGATTCCTATATCAACAAAAAAATATAGTGAACTTATGGACTTACTTTTATACTTGCCATCGTATTGCCATGATTTCTATAAAAATCTGCCACATTCAAACGAAGAATCCGAGTACCCTACGGATAATGATGACATGTAATTTGAGAACTGTATGTTCATTATAACT